CTGCGCATGCAGGACATTTACGTTGTATGACTGCAGTTCACACAGCAGATCACATACAAGTCGCATATATTTGGAAATGTGAACGGCAACGCAAAAAAAAGCGGATTTCACAAAATAATCGGAATTGAGCATCAAGGCCTGCAGTGTGAACGTAGCCTTTGTGATTGTTTGTGCTTAAATTAAGAGTCGGCTATTAACTCTGTTTGAACTGATACTGGACATATATTGGTTGTTTTTTTTGTATTTCAATGAGCTTCTCTTTAAATTCATACTATCTTTTTATAGAACAATAACACACTTTTTGTAGTACACTCCAGTGTTTGCCTGGCCAAAGTAACAGCATATGGCCAATTAGATCACTGTGCCAGTGTGTGCCTAAGCCCCGCCTGTTGTACAGGCTGTACGTGCCCAAAAAGATTATGTATTGTTTTTCATTTAGGCATATGTGGTTTAAAACAAAAATAAGCTTTGGCGTCTGAGATTCTGATTCCTTCCCTTCAGCTGCCAACAAAAGAACTGGGATATAGATAAATCAATTTAACTGCTGCTAAATGGATCCCTAGAAAAGAGCAACATGTCTGCAGAAAGGCAGAACAAATATCAAACAGGAAAATCTTCCTGCAAAAAATTTCAGCCCTAAAGAAAATTCAACCAAAATTCTTTTAACCAAAAACAACCAATCTATTCTTAGAATATATCTACTGGCCGCTATGGACATGCCTCATTTCTAAAACCATTATTCTGTTTGTAGAAGTAAGAAACCTTACGCCATTCAGATCTCTATGGTGAAAATGCCCCCTACTTCCATTAGTTGTGCACTTCTTAGTGAGCTCTGTGCAGCTAAACATGCTGTTAGCCAGCTGAGGCAGGAGATGATCACTGATGACCTGGTGGCAGGTTCATTTGTATGGATCAGTGTTTCTGCTCAGCACTCACAGCCTTTCATCTGCCCATTACAGAAACCAACTCAGACCGTTTCCTTGACAGCAGCATGACTGATTCCTATTGTTAGTCTTTCCCATTAACACAAACTCACTAGAAGCTAATCTCAACAAACGGCCCGTTTGTTCACCCCAGGCTTAGATTAGAGCAGTCTTTATACAATTATAGACAGTTATTTTTACAAATATTCTGAACACTCTGGATCTAGCAGGGAGCTCTGAATGTTTGTTGAGCTGCCTCTGAGGGGAAATGAATGAAACATCAGTAGAAGGGGAGGGAGGGTGTTGGAGGATACTGTAGTCCTGAGACCCAGGCCGCAGTGCGATACGTCCCCAGCTGCTGGCCGCTCTCCGAGCAGTGCCAGGTGAAGTTCCTGTCCTGGCCGGTGCTCAACAGCCACTCCATCTCCAACACAAACAGCACCACCACCACTCTGCCCTGGTGAGCTGCACACAGAGAAAACAGACCATTATCGATCAGTGGTGCTACTGGCTCTTCGTTTAGAGTGAATTAAAACCAGGAAGGAATCGTGAGCACAGACAGAAAGCAATAAGAAACTTAATATCCGATCACAAAATGCAGTAAAACCAGATTATTCAGTTCAAAACAGGAAACCTTTACGTTTATGGGTTTATCAGGGATTCGAATAAAATACAAAAATATTTATTTCTCTTCAGATTTTGTAATGTTAAAATGAGAAGCTTCGATGTTTAATTGGATTTTGGCGTGACAAAGCAACATAGAGTGGAGCAGAACTGTGAATTTAAAAGAAATATGATTTACTCTGCAGTACCCTTAAAGAAACCTTCAATAATTTGGCAATGAAAGTCCTCATATGTGTCATTTTTTTCAGTATAATACTCATTATTTGGGTCCTACCAAGATAAAAAAAAACAACTTACAATTAGAAGCGTTAGATAATTTTGTTTTGAGACTTATTTTCTCATTTTAGTGTTCAAAATGCTTATTTCTAGATTTAAAATCAATAAATCTTGTCTAGTGAAATGATCTTGCTACTTGGAAAGATGTTTTTTACAGAGCTGTTCAGTGACTCTGATGTTTGTTAGAAAACCTGGTCAAAATCCGGATCCAGATCCAACAGAAATTTGCAAACCGATAGACTGACAGGTTCCACCATATCTGACCGCAGCCACCAGACTTGCAGCTGGTTCTGCAAACTATTTACTCAGTAGAAGTAATTAGAAATGCTGATGTTTGTTTCTGCGTAAAAACAAATAAAACTGAAAGCCATATTTTTTATTTTAAATCAATATAATTACAAACCAGCTAACTTGTCATAGATAATGCTGATAAAATACATTCAAGTTTGTGGTTGCTTTGTGGCAAAATATGGAAAGGTTCACAAAATAGCTGATTTTGTTCTGCAGAACATCCTGTCTCACCTTGATATGTGAGCGCTGGGCTCATCTTGTTGTAGTCCTCTGATAGAATAAACTCCTAAAATAAAAAACAGAGAATCCAATGACATAAATACAGGAAAAAAACATATTATGAGATGAAAAGTAAACTGTTTTTAAAAATGTGACTGAAAAAAAATGGAAAAACTACAAGAACAGAAAGATGAGTTGTGAAAAAAGCTTCCTCTCTGGCAAATATCTACATAAAAACATTTGTGGAAGCATTTAGGTTTCATGCTTTGGGATTAAAATCTGAAATGCTACAGTCTGTTCAGATCTCTGTGGACTTATTTCAAATGAAAACAAACTAGAAAAGCACTCAGAGAGAGCAGACCTCCACCAAGCCGCGAATTGTGCCCCTAAATGTGACTTTCACCTATAGCTAACAAACCAACAACTTTCCATTTTCTTGTGTTTTTTTCTTCAGTAAAATACCTCCAGACTTTTTGACTCCGATGCTGAGGCTGTCAATAGTCAGTACTGCCACCCTCTGGTTTAGAGGGGAACTACTTGTTCCTCCAAATCTCCCTATTTCACAATCTTGGAGAATCTTTTTAAAGTTGTAGGGAAACGGCCATTCCAACCGTTGCATTTCCGAATTCTCCAGAGTGATGCACGACTTTACACGAGTGAATAAAGTGAATGTGACTGGTCATTTATCAAGACAGAAGGGTTGTTGTGGTGGAAGGTTTACAAGCAAGTTTGATTGTGGCCGGTGTCTCGGAAGGTAAAGTAAATTATTCTCATTTCTTATTTCAAGCGTTGCGTATATTAGCTGCGACATATGAATCAAGATGACATATATTGATATACGGTTGGCCGAATTTAGGTGTTGAAGCTGACTTATAACTAACTGGCCTGCATAAGATAACGGAAAAAAAACAGAGATTTTAAGACAGGATTTTCTTTTCTTTTTATTGACATTTTCTAAATTTTTGGACAATATCGTCTGATAAAGAGTACATTTATATACACGTTTAAGCCAGAATGATTTGACATTTATTCAGGATTTCCCTACGATAATCCCTGAATCCAGATTTTGATCTGGATCATCACTGAAATTTAATAGATTGTTCATTGAAACAAGGGACACTTCTGATAAATATTTCATGAAAATCCGTCCATAACTTTTCAAGTTGTTCTCCTAAAACATAACCTTCTTAGTGACGGTAACTACAAGCAGCTAAAAATGGAAAAAGTCAAACTTCTAAAACAGTTTTTCATTCTGAATTTATTTATCCCTAAAAAGACAAAAAACAAAAAACAACACCTGCATGACACACATCACAAATCCAGACATCACAC